TATTTTTGTCACCATCGCTGTCGTCGCCATCTCACCTTCACTGCTACTGTCGTCACCGCTGTCATAATCTTGCCGCCGTACAACTATAAATGTCCCATCTCCCTCCTCCTCGTCATCCTCACTTCTTTTGCTTAAATAGATAAAGTATGGCAACTCAGAGAGTAGCCCCATTGCAATAGTCACACAAAGCTTCGACAAAACCCTTAGCTTAACCAACCACTCACTACTACTATTTTTATTCTCCATCACCATCCTTCTCTACACCACAATCATTGAACCCTAAATCCCTATTTTGTGTGTGTGTATATATATATAGACTCACACACATACTTATCAAATACATATTAAGCCCCCCAAAAATTTGAAATTACTATTTAATAGGTGCCGAATCTCAATTTGAAATCTTTTAAGTGTTATTTTTGGAAATCCAAATTTATATATATGTAAAAGACTAAACGTAAATATTAGCCATATTTTTATGGAAGGCCTATTTTTTTGCCCATTTTTCCGGCCTATTAGAGTTTATCCTTTGATATTAGTTGATGGTATCCAAATCTTCTCCTTGTTTTACTATTTTTTTATTTTAAATTTTTTGTCCACTTATATAGTGTATATATTATATATATATATATATTGACATATGGTATATGTGTTTATATATACATATATTTATAAATATAGAAGCCTACCAAATATATATATATATAACCTGTATTTTTATGAAAAATAATTTTCAAGCTTATTTCTTGCCGATTTGTCCTGCCTATTAATTTTTATCATTTCATACTAGTTGATGGTACCCAAATCTTCTCCTTGTTTTACTAATTTTGAACTTTAGATTTTTTGTCCACTTATATATATATATATATTGACAGTATGGTATTAGCATGGAGATATATATAGAGAGGGAGGCCTAACCCATTTTCGCTGACTGAAAAAAAAAAAAAAAAAAAAAAAAAAAAAAAAAACGGGTTGTCCTATACAACCCGGCCGACTGGAAAATATTTAGGTTGGGTTTCATGGGTTGAACCACGAATTCGAGTTACCACGGGCCAGCCCAACCCAACCCGAAGTCGGGTTGAGGTTGGGTTCGGGTTGGGATGGGTTGGCCAGCCCAAGTTGAGGGTTGTTACACTTTCTCTCCTTTTTTTTTTTTTGATCCTAAACATTGAAAGTGATTATCTTGAGTAATCGTTTTCATTATATCTGATTTTTTTTTTTTAAAATTTATATCCCATATATTTTGTTTTCCTTGGACTAATTCTCAATCCTTTTGATTCTAAAGCATTTCTATGTATTACTAATTTTATTGCTAATTAAGTTTTCTTTACAAGTATCTACTAGTAGAAGATCATAGGCAAACATCATGCACCATTGCCATGGAATATCTTCTTGGAAATTTTTTGTTATTTCACCTAAAATTATTGCAAAGAAAAATGACACAGTACATACTCTAGTTTTTATGTCTGTATACATAATTTGGGTACTTATTATTTGCATGAGTAAGGCTTACCAAATTATATATATCTTTGAAACCCTATCTTAAGTGGTTTTTTTTTTTTGTTTAAATCTTTGTCCTAATGATTGGATGCTCTTGTGGTTTTTAATCAAATAGGGGAATCAAATGGTATGATTGCTACCATCAGAGTGGCGGGACAAATCCTTGCGTCTTCTCAAGCAAACCATATATGAATATATGATTGTGTTTGGCCTCATAGGAATCATTTCCTCTCAAATTCCATGCTTTGATGGGATGTTGTGGCTTTCAATTGTTGCAGTAGTCATGGTGTTTCCAATGCACCTGCAACTTTGCCAATTCCGATTAATAAGTATATCAATCGGAATTGGCAAAGTTGCAGGTGCATTGGAGATATAATCCCACTTACAATTCTGTTTGTTTAAGATAAAACAGTTCCAAATTCAATTAGTTGATCATAGTTGTTGCAAAAACATCCAATTTCACATGACACCTTTTTTTTTTTTTTTTTTTCTTTTTTTCATGGTCGATGATCAGGAACCGGAAAATTCATGGGAAGCATCACTGGAATAAGCATTGGCAGTAGTGGGACTCCAGCCCAAAAGATATGGAGCATCTTCCAAGCACTCGGCACCATAGCTTTTGCCTATTCTTATTCTGAAATCCTAATTGAAATTCAGGACACAATCAAGTCCTCACCAACAGAAGCTAAGTCAGTTGCAATGAAGAAAGCAAATCTGCGAAGTGTTGCAATCATGACTACTGCCTACATGTTCAGTGGCTGCATGGGCTATGCTGCTTTCGGGGACCTGACCCCGGGATTGCCCCGTGACGGCTTCCATAGGCCATATTGGCTTCTCGAAATAGCCTACGCTGCCATAGTAATCCAACAATTTGGTGCATACCAAATCAACTCCCAACCCATTTTTGCTTTCATAGAGAAAACTGTATCAGAAAGATTTCCTCAAATTGATTCCATCATCAAAGAAATCGAAATCCCAATTCAGGGCTTCAAGCTCTACAAATTCAAAAATTTTCTTCCCTGGAAAGGTTACAAATTCAAACCTTTTCGTTTGGTCTGGAGAACTATGTTTGTGATTATAATCACTCTCGTAGCAATGCTTGTGCCGTTTAATGATGCCTTTACAATTATGGAGGCCATTGCGTTTTGGCCTCTCACTATATACTTCCCTGTAACGATGTATATAGAGCAAAAGAAGATACCCAAATGGAGCACAAAATGGATCTCCCTTGAAATCGTAAGTGTTGCTTGCCTCCTTAATTATCACAATTGCTGCTGCTTCAGGCTCCATTGCTGCGATTGTTGATTCTAGCAAGTTTTACGTACCCTTCGAAACCTATTTATGCTAATTCAACAGAACCAATCTCACTCAACCTTTTTGAAATTAGTGAAGGAAAAATGTTCATCTGTCTCAAAAGAACTATTTGCTTTTGCATTCTGTTTTGTTTCACAGCATTACAAAGAGAAGGTGTAAAATTTGTTTTAAAAATATGTAACTTCTTAAAATTCGTTAGTACAGCTGGTTGCGGTCAAATTGAAGAGCTTAGAGAAGTTCCACAGACCAACTAAATTATTTAGACAAGCTTCACAGTCTTTTGGTGTATACGTGTATCACGTGTTTGTGCAAGTATATTATATTATCTGGATGCATGATTGCTCCAGACCTTGACAGATTTGGATAAAGGGTATGGATCCGATGTGATGCACGACACTTTGTGTTTAGTATTTTTAAAGTTTAGATTTTATTTATTTATTTATGTTTTATAATCTTTTATAGAAAGTTTAACTTTAATTATTTTCTTTTATGAATTATTTTTCTTTTGTTATTAGGTTTCTTTATGGTTAATCTTTTTAATACTAGAATTTCTTTAATTATAAATATGTGTATTGCAATTAATTCAATTATTCAATACAATATCACATTTATCTGAATTTATCTCTTGTTTTGTAGATTCAAGATACCCTACTTTGTAGATTCAAAGTAACGTGTTCCTTGTGAACATTCTATCGTTTTTTGCTATGTTAAGAGACTTGTCTTTTTCTCACCCAAAAATAGGAGGATATCAAATAATTAATAATAAACAAACACATAATACAAGATGAAATAATAATAAATAAATATTCCCTGAATGAAAAAACTAAATAATAATTGATTAATAAATCCTTGATACCAATAATCTCCAAATAAATCAATAAATGAAAAATCCTTCAAAGTACAACTCGGGAATCCAATGTTACATGGACCCCTAACAAAAAATCCAAAACTAAAATAATAATAAAGTCTAAATAACTAAGTCTAAACAATGAATGAAATCAGAGATAATGTCCTACATCGATAATCCGGAAGAGTAAAGATGAATGCTCTCTAATCAGCACGAATAACCTCTAAGTCTGGAAATGATGTGGACCTAAAAAATAAATTGTGGGCTAAACCCACAAACAAGTCCTATCTACTACGACCCAATCAGAGAACCAATAAATAGTACATCCCCAGCTAAAACTCATGATATACCTACATAGTCAATACATCCATATATATGCTATAGACGTCATTGAATATAGGGCAGTATCAACCTGATAGAGAGTATCACTTGATAATCATTCACAGGATGGTCAAGAGTCCCTTTTTTACCAGGGCTAACACATCTCCTATATCCAGATACTCATCTCCGGCAATATACACCTTAGTCCTATCCACTAATCCCGAGACTCCAAACTCGTATCACGGCATATACATATATAAGATCATCAAGAAAGCCGAATATGAAAATAGCATAATGTAACGTGTCTAGAATTATTAGCCAGTTTACCTACTCATCTAATCATCAACGTCATATCTAACAATTGCATAAAGTATCAAAGAGACTAGCTTATTAACTATCTCAATGATTTCATCTCAAATATACATTAAATCCATCAAACCATATATAACAATGGTACAACATATAGTTACAGCCATGAATCATGCTTGTAAACCACAACTATAATTAAAATCACAAATCCAACCCGTACATTTAATTACATAAATTAAACATAATAAAAGATTAATTTGCAACTAGTTAATTTAATATTTTTCATCATATCACAAAACATTAGAGACATGGCAGGTGACCTTGATGGCAGAAAATCAACGTCGGGGTATTTATTCACTTTGGCAGTGGGAGCTGTGTCGTGGCAGTCTAAATTGCAGAAGTGTGTTGCCTTGTCTACAACTGAGCCGAATATATTGCTGTTACTGAAGCCAATAAAGAATTACTGTGGATAAAACAGTTCCTTCAAGAATTAGGGTTAAAGCAAAAAGAATACGTAGTATCCTGTGACAGTCAGAGTGCTATTGACTTGAGCAAGAATGCGATGTATCATTCTCGCACAAAGCACATCGACGTTAGGTATCATTGGATGCGTGAGGTGATTGAGAAACAATTGCTACAGTCGAAGAAAATTCATACAGACAAGAATATATGCCTTTGATATGTTGACAAAAGTGTGGTTCCTGAGGCCATGGACTCAATGGAAGTCTCTCCCAGTAATGGGATTGAAGAGTTCATTCAGGAGCTGACACAGAATGATAGGTTGGGGCCACCTCCTGCACCAGTTTCAGCCATTAAGGCCTTGGCTACCGTGATACTCACACCAGTACATTTGAGCAGTGACTCCTACTGTCCTGTCTACAAGGATGAGTTTGAGGTCGGTGTGGAAGTGAGAGAGCTGCCTTGCAAACATTTTTGTCACCCTAATTGCATCCTTCGTTGGTTGAACATCCACAATACATGTCCAGTGTGTGGGTACCAGCTAAAAGTTGACGATGATTCTGCTCAAATTGACAATATTGCTGAAAATTTTGGTGGGGATGAGGTAGCAGATCAACTTAATAGGTGGTGGACTCAACTGCATTCTTTGTGCCCAATCAGTCTATTGTCAAATTGGAGGTCATGGTACCTCAATGTCAGAGGCAATAGAATAAACTCTTCCTCTGAAGGTACTTTATTTATTTGTTTTTTTTTGTTTAAAACTATGGTTTAATTCAAATTTCACATACAAAATTAACATTTCATATCCTACATTCTTGTTCCTTCATATTATACTAAAATGAAAGCTGCTAGTCCAGCTATATCATCATTAATATTGCTATAAACTGGTCAGTCATACTAATTTCTCTGATAAAATTTTACAGACTGACATGAATTAAGCTGTAACATTCATTGTATAAACTCATTACTCTTGGCGCTAACTCTTTTTGAAGTAAAATGTAAGAAATGTGTTATTTTCTACGGATGGTTTGTGGTGGCGCTCTTGGCTCATTTTCTAGATTCTTGTCCAAATTGCAGCCCTGTGGAAGCCAGAAGAAAGTGGTTTGTATAAACAGTTTTATGATTGAATCGTCTCTTTGGCAGGTATGAGTTTATATATATACTTTATTTTAGAGATTGCTCTGATGCAAATGGAAAGGTATCAAGGGCTGGCAGGTGTGTCTGTATGCTATTCTAAAGGGTTGTTTGGATATCCCTATGAATTGAATGATCTCATTCACTTTTAAATTGAATTAAAGGTAGAAATTCATCATCTAAAATAGACCTTCTCAGAAAAATAAGTCATTTTAGATATGATTTTTAAAATCATAAATTTGTTGTAGGAAGAAAAATGTTTTTTTTTTTAATGATAGCACTTGGTAATGATGTAGTCTATCTATAAAATGTTTGAGCTTTCTTACTTAGCCGAAGAATAAAAGTGAATAGCCTGACGTACCAAATAACTTTGATTAGTCATGTTTGCAATATATAAAGAAGGGGGTATGGACCGTAGGTCCCATTTTTTTTATATTTTCCGGCCAATCAAAATTTTAGTCCGTAAAATCACTTTCAAGAGTTCGGCCTTAAAATAATTTTCCGAAATGTTTTGTAAGCTTTTAAGCTCCCCTCTCTCTCTCTCTCTCTCTCTCTCTCTCTCTCTATGTGTGTGTATATATAAGGGGGAGGTGCAAAAAACACCCTTGAAGTATATTTTTCGTAGCACTTTTACCCCCTATTTGAAAAAGTGTGCAATAAACACCCCTAATCTTTTGAAATTGTGCAAAATTACCCCTCCATCAGAAATCTGACATAAATTAGTATTGTAATACCTATTTTGCCCTTTTACTCTTCCCAAAATACCCAAGGGGATACATATGCTATGAATCTCATACTATAGGGGTTTTTTGTGCACATTATCTTAAACTTTTTTTCTCTATATATATATTTAACATTTAGTGTTTTCACTCTCCAACATTTTTTTTTTCTCTCTCAACATTGTATTTCTCCCCCTATTTATCATCTTTTCAAGTTCTAATTAGACTTCGGGATAATTTTATTTAACTAAGGAAAAATTATATAAGAAAAGTAGACAATTGTTATGCCTTGCAAAAGGTCCTGAATTTACACCATTACCAGCACAGGCCGATCAACATTTTCATGTCAAATTTTCCACTTCCTACACAAGTATAACAACTGTTTTGTAACGTTTAGTGCATGTGAAGCACAATTTAATAATTAAATTATGTAGCTTTAATGTTTCTTTTGATAGAAGTTTTAAAGCTTTAACAACATGAATTATATGTATACCTTCTTATATAGCAGAAAACAAGTTATTAGAATCTGATTCTACAAAAGTAATACTTGCTGGGTCCATGTAGCCATAGTAATTCCCCAAGTACTTCTCCTCAGACAGAGGATCCTCGTTCACCTTTTCTGATTTTTCATGTTTCAACTTGCAGGAGAATACTCTGTTTTTTTTTACCTTCGGAATCCAAATCCAAACTGTTAGTTAGGATGCTTGACTCGGAATTGGAGTAGAAAGTAGCGAAGGTGCTTAAACTGATATATATATCAATAGAGAGAGACACCCATCAACAAGGACCCAAATTGCTGCAACAGCGAAAAACAATTCCGGCAAACTTGTGCACAACCGGGTGAAGAAAATGGGTATCATCTCCATCACTGGGAAGACCATAACCTTAGTGACCGTGAAGACCGGCGAGAAGTACCGAAGCTTGCTGGAACTAAGGATCACCGGAAGCTCCGGCGAATCCACTGTTTTGGTTTCGCTAAAACTGTGGGGTCTCTTCATCGTCCAGTTTGGTTGCTGTTGCTAAAGCTTTCAGTTTCATAATTCCGAAGGCTCAAGTGTGTATATAAATTAAAATTTCCTATATGTTAATTAAATGCCGGATTCGAAGTCGCTCTGCATTTGAAATGCCGATGGTGTTCGCTTTGACAGATCGGCATTTCAGACTCAAATCAGAATTTTCAAGAAGGCGTTGAAGCCATCGGTGATTTCAGGTTAGGAAATTCATCATCCAGTTGATGATAACACCTTCAACTTCATCTTCTCCGGTGGCGGCAGATTCATCTCCTTTCTCTCTTAAATTTTCTTTCACATGATCCCCCTTCTCTCTAACATAGGTGGTCTATATCAAAGAGATGATTAATTATAAAGGCTCTGTGTCTTTGGAACATAGGTGGTCTTTTGATAAAGACTATGTGTCTCTGATCATCACCGACTAAACCGAATAGGCTCTATGTCTCTAATAATCACCGACCCAACCGAATAGCTTCTAATAATCACCGACCCAACCGAATTGCTTTTAATCATCACCAATTGAACCATTGAAATCCATGAACCTGTAGAGACCATGAAGAGTACATCGAAGCCTTATCAGTTCCTGTGAGTCGCAAAGCTTCAGCTCTGTCCGGCGACCTCAGTCCAGACCATCTAGTGAGAGTAACAATTTCAGACCACCACCACCTGAGAATTTTAAGCTAGCCAAATTGAGAACACAGAGGTACAATGCCAACATGTAACAGTTCCGATGAACCTCCGGTGATCTTCAGTTCCTGCCCGTCAGAGACTGATGCAAATGGGTGAGGTGAGTGGGAAATACAATGATGGGCCAAACGATGTCACTTGGTTTTTTGTGTCCTTTTTCGTCATTTCACAACATAATGTATTTTTAAATTATTTGTAAAATGTATGGGTGAGGGTAATTTAGACAAATTCTATTTTAAATGTGTCAGATGGACTTATTTGCACAAAATTAAAACTATAGGTGTTTTCTGCACGTGAGGGGTGTGATATGCACTATATCTATACTACAGGGGTGTTTTCTGCACTTCACCCATATATATAATATGTAATGACTTTATTTTTAACTAAAATCCTATTTTGCAGTTAACTTGATAAAAAGGGCCAAGGTACTAGTCAATTCTTGATTAGCTGGGTGGACTTCAGGTTTTGGAAAGGAAAAAAAAAATGTTCAATATTTTAACTATCTACCACTATGATTACTATTGTATATGAAAATGTAACATACAAGGGTGGATGTAGGGGTGGATTCTGATGGGCTTGAGCCCATTCGGAAAAAAAAAAAAAAAAAAAAACGAAAATTTTACTATACTAATTTCAGCCCAAAAAAGGAAAAAAAAATAATAATAATAAAATTAGCCCACCCAATCAAACCCAAGTTAACTCAGCCACCGTACTAAGATAAAGGGCCAAGCCAAATAAGCCCAGGCCGGTCCTGACCCAAGGCCACAAAGGTGGTCGCCTACCTCAAAATTTATAGGCCAGTGGATGATGGGTCATCAAAATACAAAATATTTTTAGGGTAAATCATTTTAGCCTCCCCAATCACCTCCATCTCCATTCTCGTTCTAGACTTTGAACTTGCCCTCTCTCTCTCTCTCTGCAACTGCAAACTACAAAATCTAGAAGAATCAGAAGTTCGAAATCCATATAGTTCAGATTATCTATCTGTCTGCAAGAATCAAAAATTCAAAACCCATATCGACATATCATTTCAGATTGTTCAAAAAATAAAAACCCATATCTTTCAGTTTCCATCGCCGGCTGTTCCAGATCGGGTTCATTGTTTGTGATACCCCTAGGATCCGAGACACGGGTTGATCAGGCCCAGGCCCAAACCCGAGGGAACATCAAACAATTAAAGTATTTTAAAACGAACACAGATGACAAAATGAAATAATAAAGATGGAAATAAAACTGAAAGAACATTTAATTATAAAACCCTCTATGCATAACTGAAAAATAAAACTCCAATCCTCTAAAACTCCAAGGTTACAACTTGGGAATCCATTGGTGGACCCCTAACCAAAAGATTCAACTGAAACTGAAAACTGGAAATAGATAATGCTAGAAACATCGAGAGAAGTCCTACGTAATCAGATGAAGGTGAGACTGTCCTCGACAAGCACGATCATGCTCTAAGGCTGGAATCGTCCTGTACCTGAAAAGAATAATGAAGGAGTGGGTCAGACCCAAGAGCAAGTTCTAATTTAACTGCAATCCATACAGTGACCCGATACGCAGATACACCGTAGACACCTCACAATATCTATCTAGTCCATACGTATAAATATATCCACATTAAGGGACATTCACTAGTCTATAATAGGGATCTCAACCTGAATAGAAGGCAACATGCGAATACGCACCCAAAGGTGGGCATGAGTACCTAGACCTAACAGTGTACACCTCAACCTATTATAACCAGCTACGCATCCACTGCATATACGCACCCTAACCAACGAGTCTGAGACTCAAGCTCAACTCGTGGTACCATAAACATATATATAAAGTCCGTCCAAATCCAGGGTATGTAATTCAACTATTTATTAAACTGACATACAATAAACCAACTAGTTAGTCACTCAACTTATTCAGTTGATATGACTTAACTACCATCCATTAATCCAGGAAGTCATCCAACTTGGTTACAGCTGATCTGACTTAGTCACAATTAGGATTCGATAACTTTCAACCCATTCCATTAATCCATTAGGTTAGGTTTATGTGTTTTGAGCTAAACTGTCCTTAATATGTCACTGTCCCATACCGGTACATACAATCCTCTATATCCATGTAAATTACAACATATATAACAGTTCAATAATTTATAGACCAAAAACCACCATCCAAATAATTACAGAAGGAATCTTAACAATCTAGCAATTAAAATCCAGTAGTAATCCATGTAATTGCATCGAAGAATTAATTATTCTAACAATTAACATCCAAACCATGCATAGTTCAAATTTAATATAACAATGACCCTAATAAAAATAAGTTTTATTAGAATACTGGATCTCCTTAAATTGATAAAATTTAATCAAACAACTAATCCTTCC